ATTGGAGATGAGTCTCGATGACTTTTCTGCCTGCTCTGGCTTTGAACTGCAGTCCTCAGATCTGTCTGGAGTAGCTAGGATTTAAAGGCATGAGCCACCCAGCAGCAGGCTATATGAACTGGTTTTAAATCCCAATTCTGCTATGCATTAGCTGTGTGACTTTTGACAGGTGTTTTGATCTCTCTATCTCTTCAGGTTCTTAAGAGAATTAAACAAAAAATACAAGTGCTTAGGGTACATAGTGTTGTGAGTGCTAGCTAATATTTTTACTAATTACCATGTGCAAATCACTGTAATGGGACTGGGTGGGAGACCTCACAGAGTAGTGAAACAAGTAGGTGGACTTGTGAGTACACAGCCAAGCGGAAAGGATGTAGGGTGAATGTGGCAGAAGCCCAGACCTTTTAGAATGCACATTACTGTTTTCAGGTATTTTCCTATTTGCTTGGTATCATAAATTTCAAGGGTACAATAGCATTTTATAGAAAGTAAGCAAAGTTTAGAGAAAAACAAGTTAATTTCTCAATTTTGAATTGTACTCACCAGTGTGGCTTTACCCTACTTTGGTTGGACAAAAATAAAAACAAAGAAGAACAACAACAAAAATAAAAACTGTCGAAGATCTCTTATTCCAGAATGAGGAGAAATACTTCCAACCAGAGGAAGACACAATACATTTTGTCTTTGGATCCTGATTTTTATTTCAAAAGGCTTGGTGAAGGACAGACACTCCTAGGGTAAGTTTTACCCCATTTCATATCAGAGGCAGATTGTGAGCAATGAAATCCTGCATTGTATGCAAGGTGTTTTGTGAATCCTACATATAACTGTGCTTCTGTGAGCATCATTTCCAGAAGGAAGAGGTTCATTTTCCTTACAGGAGTGGCTGTGAACTGCAACTGGTAGATACAGAAGCCCGAGGCATCCACTCTGCTTGTTTTCTATGTCCTTGTTTTTGTTTTTTTTGGAGGGGGCTAAATTTTTTTTTTCTGGAATCATCAGAGCCATCATCACCCATATCACCATCATATGAGTGCATCTAACATGGGTCAATTCAACAAGCAAGATGGTTGGGTTAGGAAGGGAAAAGACCACACGTAACATTTCTGATTTGGCAAGGAGTTTGTTTACATGTATGCAGTGAGGTCCAATTGCTTTCATACAAATAGACTGAAAACATTTTATACTGCATCTGGAAGATGCTTTTGTCATTCAGATTTCAACTTTGAAAATGTACTTGTGTTGAAATCACTACCATGAATATTTGCTATTTGACAATATAAAAAAGTAATTTGTTTATAAAACTGATTAAGCCCCTAACTACTTTTTGTCAAAAGGTGAATAGTTGTAGGTCTTTTTCTTAATAGAGCAACACCACCATTTGTTTTCACTTTCCCCAACTCCCTCACGAAATGGGAAAGCTGTCACTTTATACTCAATTCATCCTTAAAAATAAAAAAAAAAAGCCCCATTTGCTGAAACCATGCAAAATGATCTCACTAAACACTAAACACTGGGGGGGATCAGTTACTCTGATGCCTAAGTCTGTCAAGCCTAGAGCAATGGCTCAAGCTTGTAATTCTACTTGGGAGGCAGAAATTGAGGGAAGATCTCAACACAAGGCAGAATTAGTGAACCCATCTGAACAAACATTAAAGAAGATTACAGATGGTGCTATGTACCTGTAATCCCAGCTATGTAGGGAAGCAGGGGGAATCATAGTCCTGAGGCAAAACCCAAACAAGTTCCTATCCATAAAATATCCAAAAAAAAAAGTCAAGATATTAAAAACTGTCAAATGTATAAGGAATGAAAACAAATGCCATAGATGCTACAATTTGAAACACTACAAATATTATGAATCATCATGCGTATCTTTGTAAGAAAAAGTACTTGCTCTCTTTTTCTTGCTGGACAATCTATGATATAAACAAGCATGTTTTTGTTGTTTGAGATAGTTATTAAACTCAGGGCCCAGAGCCTTGCTGAGCAAGTACTCCACCACTCGGCTTTTTTTGTCTTAGAAAATTCTTAAGAAGTCTGATTCACTTCCAATGTTTTATTACTTGGTGCTGCAAATGTCTTGAAACACCTACACAAGTCCCTTTAATAATATTTTTGGTAGTGTCACTGCATTGGGGACATTTTCATCTCTTGCAATCTCTCCTTAGTAATGTTACTAAGTTGGCCTTCCCTAACCAGGACTAACCTCTACAATGGTACCAATAATAGCACTTACACATCAGCTATTTCATCTATAGCTCCTGTTATATATGTCCAACTTTATCACTTTCAGTTCTGTGCTGCACATTCATCTCTGCCACTCAGTTCCTTCAATTATCTGCTTTTTTAAAATGCATGTGCGTTGGGCTGGAAAGGTGGCTCAGTGGCAGAGTGCCTCTCTAGCATGCATGAGGCCCTGGCTTCGATTCCTCAGCACCACATAAGCAGAAAAAGCAGGAAATGGCACAGTTGCTCAAGTGGTAGAGTGCTCGCCTTGAGCTGAAGAACTAAGAGACAGCACCCAGGTCCAGAGTTCAGGCCCCAAAACAGACAAAAAATAAATGTATGTGGATTTATCTCTGGAAACAGGAAGCAATGTAACTATACTGCTGTCCATGAATCCCTTGTTGAAATGAACACATAGTAACCAGACTTTGGAAGAAGTGATGCTTGACCACTATTATGTATCTGCTTTTTACATAGTGATTAGTTCTATTTGGCAACTGAAAATGCTATTTAACCCTCTTTTTGTTGTATTTTAAGACAAAGTCTTACTCTATTGCCCAGGCTTGCCTTGAACTTGGGAGTTTGTTCCCCAGAGGTTCATGTGCTGGAGGCTTGGGCCCCTCTATGTGATATTAAGAAATATTTTTTTTTAAAGAAAAAGGAAAGGTGGGGAGACCTTTAAGAGGTAGGACCTAGTATCAGGTAATTAGATCCCAAGGAGTGCATGGACCTCACCAAACACACCCGACCCCTGAATCTGTCTAGCTTCCTGCTGCTACCATGAGGTTCATAGTAGCATCAGCCATGATCCTCTTATTAGAGGTTGAACAAAAATGTTGTCACCTAACCCTGGACTATCAGCTACCAAACCATGAGTTAAATATACCTCTTTTCCTTATAAGGTACCTAGATTTGGATATTTTGCTATTGCAAATTTTAAAAGAAACAACAAAAACATCAGCAAAAAAAACCTAATATACTGTTCCAGCAAAGTCATCTTAAGGGACTATGAAAAGGATTGTTGGGTATAGAATGATTAAATTGTATTAGGATTAATTCTGTGGCAATGTTCTCAATGTTTTTCATATATTAACTCGATGCAAATAGAAAAAGAGGTAAACACTATGTCTTTGTCATACAGGTGATAAAATAGAAAACCTCACTTGTCCAAAGTCACAAAGCATCAAAGCTGCAAAGCCAGGACTCAATTCCAAGTCTCCAACTTCTATAGTACATTCTACTCGATCTGATAGAGAAGACAAATACTCCATTTTCTCTCTAATATGGAGATGCTAAAAAAAGAGTCCAATTTGAATGTGTAGTGGTTACTAGAGGCTAGGAAGGAAGGAAAGGAGGCAAAGGCTGGATAATGGGTACCAAGTAAGTTTGACAGAGTAAGTTCTAGGGTTCTCCAGGCCAAGTGGGTGACGTGAGTTCACATATCCTAGCAGCATATATTTGGGAATAACAGGAGTTCAGAGGCTCCAAATACAAAGTAATGACAAGAAGATGGCAATGTAAATTACCTTAATACATTGCATATAAGTATCAATTATCACATTATATTTATAAATAAGTACAATTAAGCTAACTTTTTTATTTTTTTGGTGCTGGTCTAGGGCTTGAATTTAGGGCCTGGGCAGGGTCCCTGAACTTTTGTTTAAGGCTAGCACTCTACCGCTTTAGCCACACCACCACTTCCCCACCTTTTCTGAGTAGTTTTTCAGGAATAAGTCTCAGACTTCTCTGCTCAGGCTGGCTTCAAACTGCAATCCTGAGATCTCAGCCTCCTGAATAGACATGAGTCACTAGGGGCTGGCTAAAATAACTAATTTTTAAAAAAGAAAGGGGGAGGCAAATATACACAGGGAAGGGGCAGCTAAAGAAACAGAAGACTTTTATCAAAAATTAAAAGTGTAATCCAAATCTTCACTTAATGAAAATTTTGTAACTAGTGAAGAACCAAATACATGAAAGGACCAATTAGAAAACTTATAGTGTAAATGAGAACTAAAATATTCAATCAAATGAGTAGGCAAAAAGAAGCAATCTTTCTCCCAACAGAGACCCCAAATACAGATCTAGATGTCATCAACAGAAGAGGCTAAATATCTGACTAACAGAAATTTGAGTCAGAACAAAAGGAGATGGTAGGGAGAAGAGGTGATAATGTCCAGATGGAAAAGTCATCAGAGAATGTACACAGGCCCACACCAAGTATGGTCAGGAAGAAAACTTTCAGATTGTCAGGAAGAAAACCTTCTAGAGGAAGGAACATGAGTGAATCAGTCCCCTCAAAGGCAAAAAAAGAGTCCACAGGGCCTTCAACATTCCAATGGAAAATTCACACTAGTCAAAGTAAAGGCAATTTCAAAAATGCAGAGAGATAGTAAGCACCAAAAAGGCACAAGAAAGAAAAATAATGTGATCCAACACTGGAGCTAACCTAGACCATCTAGAAAAGAGACAAGGTGGCAGCTATATGGCAGACTTAGGCTCTAGCAGGAAAATAAGCAGATAAGTAACAAAGGGTCTTGGAAAAGGTAAAGACACAGAAGGAAAATTAGGTAGGCAGAAAAATCATAAGATTATATATACAGCAACAGCTGTACACAGAGGAAATCAGATCACATTATACCAGCTGTACAGGGACTATGGTAAGACAGTTTAGAAGATGAAATGAGGTGGTGTCTGAACTTAAGTCTTCAGTTATTATAAACGGAAAGCATTTTGGACTTGCTATCAATTAACTTACTCAAGGCACAAACATCAGTCTTTCAATCCTGAGGTTTTAATCCATGAGTGTTTCTTTCAAACTGTTTAATTTATTAAAAGAATTTTGTACAAAAAGAAACTAAGAAAAAGGATCTAAGTATACTGAAAATTGCATATTGTCCCTTTTTCTTCATTTTTCGTATAAAAGATGTTATTTAGCGGGTTCTGCTCTTCATTTTCTCTCTTGTTCGTTTTCCAGGTCTCTTCTAAACAAAAACAAATAAACAAAAACAAATTTGGTCACATAGTACTTGGCTTTCTGCCCTAGGGAGAGAAGAACAAAGAAGGGAAGAGCAGGTGTGGCAGTTAGAAAAAGCTGACCCTGTGCAGCCTGGAACCTGGCTCACTTACATTCGATCCTTTCTTCCCAGGCCTTTTGAGGCCCTTGCCATGAGCTACCTTGGCCCGGAAGCTGGATACATCATCGTAGCTTTCTCGAGTATTCCACTTGGTACCTTTCTTCTTTCCACCAAAACCAAACTTTTGGTTTTTATACCGTCGTTTAGCACTGGGCCTGGAAAAAGATTAGCACCCTAAATTATGAAGAACTTTGTGACCAAACAATAGCCTCTGATTCCTTCCTACAAAGCTCCTGAGACAATACTGTTCCCATACCCACAGCTTTTTTTTTTGTTTTTGTTTTGTCGGTCTTGGGGCTTAAACTCTGGACCTTGCACTGTCCCTCAGCTCTTCAGCTCAAGGCTAACACTCTACCACTTGAGCCACAATGCTACTTCTGGTTTTCTGGTAGTTTATTGGAGATAAAGAGTCTCACGGACTTTCCTGCCTGGGCTGGCTTTGAACTGCAGTCTTCAGATCTCAGCCTCCTGAGTAGCTAGGATTATGTGTGAGCCACCAACACTCGGTACTCCCATAGTTTTAACCTCCAGAAAAGGAAAGAAAAGCAGGAAGGGATCTAAATAAATTATATGGCTTTCTCCTATTCTCAAAAAGCTTTTTAGCCAGGCACTGATTGGCTCATGCTTATAATCCTAGCTACTCAGGAGGCCTGAGCAGTAAAGTCCAATTAATCACCAAAAAGCCAGACATGGAGCTGTGGCTCAAGTGCTAGAGTGCTATCCTGGAGCTAAAGAGCTCAAGGACAATACCCAGGCCCAGGGTTCAAGGCCCATGACCGACAGACACCCCCACCCCCACCCCCCAAAAAAAGCCTGTGTCTCTACACTGCTTACTGGAAGAAGCCGGAGATCTGAAACAGGCAAATGAACAGCACAGGAACCCAACACAGCTCCTCACTCCTAGTTTCACACTGCATATCTAGTACTAGCTAATGCTGGCTGTTTCTCACATACAACCTGCTGTTTTATAACTCTGATCCTATTCATTCAGGAGCATCATACTTCCCTTTCTATCTCATAATACCAAGAGGCACAAATCACTTCCTTGATATAGTAGATAAGGCACTGAACAAAGGACTTGCTCAGTACCCTCCCAACTGAATGGCAGAAGCTGGATCTGAACCCTTGGTCTTGCACTTGTTAACTATCACATTAACTGGGAATCACACAGTTATCTGACTTTTATTCAAATAAGCCCATCATCTTCAAAGATTATTTATGGCTTAAAAGCTCATCTGTGGGCCAGGAGCCAGTGGCTCATGCCTGTAACCCTAGCTATTAAGGAGGCTGAGATCTGTGGATCATGGTTCAAAGCCAGCCCAAAGCCAGCCCAGGCATGGCAGGAAAGTCCATAAGATTCTTACCTCCAATAAAACCACCAGAAGAGCTCAGGGACAGTGCCCAGACACCCAGAGTTCAAGGCCCACAACCGACAGACCAAAAAGCTCTATGCCATTATAAGTCCTGGCCCAGGCCAGCACCAGTATTCTTCTTTCCACACAGTGGTGGGCTCCCGGAGGTCGGGGGGGGGGGAGGGAGGGGGCCGATAGTACTCATGGACTGTCAGCCCAGTTCACATCCCAGAACCAAGGCAAACCAAAACACTTGTTACCCCTTCTTCATGTTCTGGCCTTTAGCTCCTGCCTTTGCGGCCTTTGTGGCCTTTGTGGCCTGTGCAACAGGTTTCTCATCACCCTCAAGGAAATCCAGTTTATCAGAGAAGCCTGTGAGTGAAGAAACATTCTGATCAGCAACAGTGTACTATTATAAAAAGTTTAAGCCTCAAAATATAAGTTATAAGTGATTTGAGAAGTATAACTTCTAAAGTTGCACCATTCCCAAAATGTAAGTCTAATAGCTCCAAATCAATAAAGAAGACCTCCCAACGCATTGTGTGTTAACTCTAAGGGTACCAGAGATCCCTGTTTTCCTACATCCTTAGCAGAGAAATATCCTGACCTTTTTGGTACTTCTTGATGGCATTCATCATATGTGATTTCTCCTGCTGCCTCTTCTGAAGAACCTGTGTTTGCACCTGTGATATGGACACAGAAGTTATATCCATTCACAACCACTACTCCAAGCACATGCATTCTCTCAATAACTAGTAAAAACACACATACACAGATCAATACCATTACCATTTAACATGTACAGACATGTACATCTCTACACTAATCCAGTGTAGTTCAAATTCTTAATCTCTTTTAAACTGCATTGTGGGCAGCCTGAACCCAAAGCCTGCACTTTTTACTCATTACACAATCCTGCCTAGGAAACTGTAGCAAATCACATTTAGGTTTATATTCAAGTTCTCCTATTAATTATATCTGAGCAGATTAAATTTCCAATCCTCTGTTACTAAGTATGAAAATATCAGGGGCTGGGAAGGTGGCTCAGTGGTAGAGTGCTTGCCTTGCATGCATGAGGCCCTGGGTTCGATTCCTCAGCACCACATAAGCAGAAAAAGCTGGAAGTGGTGCTGTGGCTCAAGTGGTAGAGCGCTAGCCTTGAACTGAAGAGCTCAGGGACAGTGCCCAGGCCCAGAGTTCAGGCACCACAACTGGCAACAAAAGAAAAGAAAAGAAAAAAAAAAAGAAAATATCAAAAGAAAACAGAAAAACAACCATCCCAGAAAACAGAAAAAAATGCTTTAGGGACAAAAACTATTATTTAAGGCAGAGTTTCTCACCATTAACATTTTGGATGTGATAGTTCTTCATTGGGTAAGGCCTGTCCTGTACACTGTACAGTTAGTAACATCCTTGCTCCCCTACCCACTTGATACAAACAGAACCCTCTATGACAAGATGTGACAACTGAAAAATGTCTCCAGTTACAGATGTTCTCTGGAGAGCAAAATCACCCCAAATTGAGAACCACTATCCTAAAGTTTCCTCAAATTATACATATATGCTAAGCAGCCTTACTTTTTCTTTTATTTTGATAAGTTACATTATACTAACTAATGCTTAGTGTCTTTGAAATGATGCCAACCATCCACCTTCAGATTAGAGAATCAAGGGGCTGGGAATAGGGCTTAGTGGTAGAGTGCTTGCCTAGTATGCATAAAACCCTGGGTTCAATTCCTCAGTACCACATAAACTGAAAAGGCTAGAAATGGTGCTATGGCTCAAGTGGTAGAGTGCTAGCCTTGAGCAAAAGAAGCTCAGGGACAGTATCCAGACTCTTGAGTTCAAGCCCCTGAACTGGCCAAAAAAAACAAAAAAAAAACAGATTAGAGAATCAAGATCAGTGGACCTTGTGCAGAGGACAGGACACTACAACTTGTCAGTGAAATGACCCCAAGTAAGAACAACAGCCTCATGACCCAGATCACAAGTGTTATGTCAGAAATGCTTATGAAACCTAAACAGAGCCTTATCAACCCCATTCCCTCCCACACACTAATTCTAATTCCTTTCTCCTTCCATTTAGAAGACCATCCAATAAGACAGTTTCATCACTTACCCGATCTGATTTTACACTAGAGCTCAGACATTCATACTCAAATACACATGGATACGGTTTTTTTTTCTCTCAGACTTCACAGTAATAAATAGTATGATCCTCTTGCAGACTTGAGGATCATCTAAACCAAATGCATCCCATGTAGACATTTTCAGAGACTCTGAAGTGTAAAAATCTTTTGCAATTTTCCAGTTGTGCTTCTGCTGATGGGTCAGGTTTGGAAACCACTGATCTAGACCTAGCTCTTCACTACATAAATATAAACAACTAAAGCCCAGTGAGCTTTCAGTTAACCTGCTGATATCACACTACTCCTGGTACAGCACAGTGTCAGATGAGATTGTGCTCAAGAAAACTAGCAGCAACACTGCACAGTGAGAGCAGAGCATAATCTAATACACATGTAGCACAGAACCAATCAGACCACAGCAATCTAACCTGACAGACATTCCTGGCCTCTCTCTAGTCCCTGCATATTTTCTTTCTCACCTTCTTTCCATATTTCCTAAGTGCTCGCAGTTGCTTAGCTTTTTCAGACTTCTCCATGGCAGCCTGTTTAGCTTGTAGCTTCTGTCGAATCTAAAATACAAAATATTGCAGATATTGCTTTTACTTAAAAGGCACTGGAACAGGGATCACAACTTGTAAATCACCAATACAAGGACAGTGAGTTTCAAAGGCTGAGCATTCTGCCTAAGGTATCACAAATGTCAGTGATAGAGCTTAAAAGTAACCTTCCCTTAACTATTCAGGAGGCTGAGATCTGAGGACCACAGTTAGAAGCCAGCCCAGGCAGGAAAGTTGGTAAGACTCTTACCTCCAATTAACCACAGAAAACTGGAAATGGAACTGTGGCTCAAACTGACAAGAGTGCTAGTCCTTGAGCAGAAAAGCTCAGGGATAGTGCCCAAGCCTTGAGTTCAAGCCCCATGATCTACAACAACAAAAAAGTAACCTTCTAATGCTGCCTGTTCCAGTACACACATTGGCCTACTTGTAGTCTAAGAAAGAATACTTATTCTTCCCCATTGCTGTGTATGTATTCTGGTTAAGCCACACAGCCTCAGTGCCTTTCTCTAACAGGCCAAATTATACATTTAAAAATTCCTGTAGATCCCTAACATGCTCTTTTACGAACATGTATGTCTAATTTCTTAAAATTTTCTCAGGTAAAATCTAAGAAGCTCAATGTAGAGAGATGTATCTGGGATGATTAGCTATGCTGGATTAGTTTCTCTGGGTACCACCAAGATCTCCCAAAATTCAGTTTAAGGCTCAAGGGAACTAGTTAAATACTTTTGGATTTTATATTGACTCTCTATGCACCATGCTACCACTGTGCTAACAAGGAAATGCAAAAGCCATCTTTACCTACATTTCTTACAGTGCTTCTTTTCTGTAAACTATTTAAATTAGGGAAGTGTCATCTTCTTTAGTGTGATTGGCATGACTCTGAAGTAGAGACTTAACTGTCTCTGACAACCAGACCCATTTCTGAGCTTTACATACCTTTTTCAAATATTCAGGAGCTAAGCCAGCTGAATATATTTCAGTACAAAGCCTTAGTTTTTCAAAGGAGGGGGGAATCTTTGTTTCTTACCTTTTGCATGTGCTGATCAGTCTTGGCCATTTCTGCAAAATAATCGGTGGGACGCTTGGTAGGGATGTGGAGCTGATGGAGCCGTGGTAATACTGCCAGCACAGCAGCCTGGGCCTGGCGGTAGCTGAGATTGTAGGATAAAGTATGAATTGCAGTGAGGAGAACGGCACTGATTGCTTCTTTTTTTTTTTGGGGGGGGGGTCCGGTTGTGGGGCCTGAACTCTGGGCCTGGGCGCTGTCCCTCAGCTCTTCAGCTCAAGGCTAGCGCTC